AGGACAATACTAAGATTAAATTCAAACGTTCATGTTTGGATCACTGTTTTCTGAGCAATTCAGTTTTGAGTTTACTTTTGAATATATACTCAAGAATGACTCAGTTACAAATTTCATAACCCTACAATATTAAAATAATTTTGTGGAGAAGAGTTTTTCCAGTATAACACCCAGGTCATGGGCCGTAATAATCAAAGTTAACTGAAATCTATGAAAGCTCAGTGGCATGCAAGAGAAATAAAAAATTTTCAATGTCTCCACTTACATCCATCAAATAAGTTAACTGCTCACGCAAAGTCTTTCTGGAGTTTTAATTTGATGTGAGAGTCGAGAAATAAGCACCGGGTTTTGGAAAATTTGTCAATAGAATAAAGCCAGAAACGAAAATAAGTCATTTCAAATAGTCAATTCGAGTATATACATTAGATTGACAAGTTTTCGAAGTAGAATGTGTGCATCACTACGAATTAATGAGATGAGAGGAAACGTGCAATAGAAAAAGTTTATTCTTTTTTTTATAGACTACCTGAACTGATTTTTCGTTGATAGAGTGGCCCTTACGGCTAGGAGATCCACTTTTACGACGAATACCACGATGAATTGTCCATTTCTGTAATATCAATTTTTACTCCACTAAGTGTCAATTTCTCGTTACTAACCCTCCCTTAAAATATTTACTATTTTATATGCTGCCAAAAAAGAAGTTTAACAGTTGTGTTGAATGTTTTTGAAAATAGCCCCAATTTTTTCACAAATTTATTAATTGGTTCAGTTTCAGTATAACTCATTGTAAAATACAAATACTACTTACTCATACAACAAAAAAAGTTCAAACTTGAACTTTGATATATAAAACTTGAACGATAAACTTGAGGGTATATTACATATCAAATTGGTTATTTTCAATGCTATTTTCACATCTGATGTTTTTAAAATTTATTTGTTTATGGTTAATTTGTATTTTATTAAGACAGTGAAACCAGGGGTTAAGTTAGTCATTCTAACCCAGAGAAAATATAATTATATAGTGAGGAAACACATGCAACAGGTCCTGAATATCATAACAATTTAGACTGAGGAAGAAGGGCTGAACAGAAGTCCGTACAAATCAACCACAGCACAATTTATCAAGAGGACAAACTCCAAAATGAAAAGATACAATTATTAGGGAAGGTTCAATATCTTATATTAGGATTCCACATTGACGTGGAACCAAAATCTAAAAAAAAAAAAAGAATGGATGAAGTAGCATTGGAAAGGCATGGAGAATGAATCCAGGTAGTTATTAATGAACGAAGCTTGTTTGGGAATAACGAAAGCAATGAGAATCACACCAACAGCAGCAATGGAGTCTACATCTTGTAATAACAAAGCAAAAAAGACAAAATTCAAGTGGAAAATTCTCCAAGCTACAAGCCAGAAAATTTGAAACAAGTATGACTCGACTAAAGAGTATAGAGACTAATTTACCTCAATAATAATTCTTTATTTTGAAACTAGACAGGATGAGCTGTTTGGAATAATGAGAACCACACCAGTCAGAATTTAGGCACTTTTAATCTAACTGCTTTACATCTTGTAATGAAAGATGCAAATCTGACACAATTCAAACAGGAAAATTCACCAAACCACAAAATTGTAAACATAATGACTTTTTATCGACCTTTTAAGGTATTTTTACTTTCGCCAATCAGAAAAAAAATCATATGGAACTGAAATTTACTCTTTGTACACCTAAATAAAGTTCCCCTTTATAATTTTTTTTCAGATTGTGAAAGTTAAAAGTACCCAAAAAGATAGATAAAAACTCCACAAAAATTGACTTTTGTTCAATAATAGTAATTAAAAAGTATGGAAACTAATTTATTGCTATTGAAGCTACTACTTTCAAATATTTTCCGCTCATTCTAAAACTGGGCACAATATTAAAAGTTTTTCATTTCGAAATATTTTTCATAGGTATACTTTGAAGGACACTCAAATACTCTAAATCATAAAGTTATTCCTCACTGATCATCTTAAACAGTTAAGTGGGAATTCTATGATCATCTAAAAAATAGTTTTATCCGAATCTGGAATAGTCATACTGCTGAGCCTCAATAGAGGTTCCATAATGTCTAAATTGTGTGGTCTTCCACATAATTAGGGCTTTTTAATTAATCCTGAATTAGAATCACCTGTGTTCTCATATAGACAATAACATACATTGTTGAGACGTTGCACTTTTGTTATATACAAAAAAAAAAGTTTTTTACGGCAGGGCTGCTGCAGTCGAAGGGGTGTCCATATTCATGCTTAATATGAAAAGAGATTATCTCTCAAGAAAGTTCAACCAGTGCCCATAGTACTAGGTTTCATTCTGGAAATATACTACTCTTGGGGTGCGATTCATGATGAAAACTACAAACTCTACAAAAAATTTGAGTCTAATTCGTGTATTATTTTCATTGAAATTTATGGACCACCCACCCATTGCTATTTGTTGATTTTCAGTATGAACTGAATGTTGAAGTTGTCGGTCTGTTTCTGAGACTCAATGCAAATGAAAACCGTTATTTTAAAATATATTATTCATGCAATATCTACCACACCAAAACAGTAGAATGGATAGCAGTAATACTGAAGGGTTTCTCCATTGTTTCAATGTAATTTTCATTTCTGTAATGACAGTCTCCTCCTAGAGCTAATGGTATAAAAGACCACATCATCTGCGCTAGAAACATTAAGTCAAAGGATGAAAATTGGCCACTCTATCATACTCTAGTCTAGTCATCTTCTTATGATGCTAATTTGGATGGAGAAATGCACATCGAGAGTCAGTGTTTTTGTTCTAGTGTGAGAAAAAGGTTTTCATTACATTCATTTTATGCCAGCAGCTCCAATTCACACACAGAATCTTCATAAACAAATTCAATTGAAGTAGGTCACCGTCAAGTTCTCCAATTAACACATAATACCCTATTTAGGGACAGGTCTGTGGGAACACGACTCGAGCAGTAATGTTGAGCATGAGTAATGGAAGGTTGATATCAATTGTAAAATGCTTCTTTGGCAAAGAGTGTTTGAATTGATATAATACATATTTTTGATTGGCCCATAAATGTAAATTATAAATTATTTGTTTTTTTTTTATTTCATTGAATGTCTCATTTGTAACCCATTCAATATGTATTGAATACTAATAAAATAATCACAATCTGGTTTCTCTTCCCACAACTAGCCTACATTTGAAAATTTAAAATTCATTGATTTCTTCTTTTCAAGCCAAAACTACATGTACCGTTGTACATGTACAAGTCATGAGATACCATGTTGAAGTAATGGAATATTGTTACCTAGTGATTCACCCGAAATAAAAACATTTGGTAGTTAGTACAGCTCTGCGGATACACTCGACCAGAGTGGAAATGATGCTGTATATCACTAGCGGTACCCCTGGGGTTGAAAGTGTTTAAACAAAGAGACAAGTCTCCAACCTCTTTTCAATATTCGAGATTGGTTTTGATGTTTGACTCACCAATCCAGCGGAAAGCTTTTTTCATGATAGAATCTAGTTTATGGACCTTGTCTATCACATGAAGGGCGTGCAAGATTGCAAAATCAATGCTTTAGTTTTATGAAAGCGGTTACCCCTCAAGCACCTATCACCCCCCTTTTTGGAAATTGCAACTTTTGAAATTGGATAAAACGTGATTTATTCACTACTCTTGTCTTGTCAACAACATTTTGGCTACTGGACGACACAAGTACTTTGCCTCAAAAATAGTTCGAAGAGAGGATATTCACAACAGATCACTGAGGAACATAAATAATAGATTTTCTAATCCTGTCCATCGTTCTTCATTTTTGTAGACATCCTTTTCTCACTTAGTACCTTTTCTGCTAAATAATATGCCCTCAAGGGCCGTAATTTATCTGCTCCTACTCTGATGAAAAATCTCAAAGAGGCTATCCTGAATGAGCAGCTGATTTAAATAAATTTTAGCAAATTTTAATCTTGTCTGGTTCTTTTTATCATGTTTTAACCTGTTTTTTGGGCTTGGTTGATATCATTTTGAATGTATTTAACAGCTTTCCCATGATTTTCTATAACACTGATGAAAGCAACTGGCATATAGTTTTTTAGATGTTTCTTGCCCTTTTTGGTATAGATTGAACTCAAGCAGTCTCGACAAGAAAAAAAAATCCTTTTTTTGTAAGACAGGTTAAAGAAACCAAAAAACATTGGTCTTCATGAAGACCGAAATATGTATTGATGTTGACCTGTTTCAGTATTTGTCTGAAAAAATGGTGTTGAAAAGTAATATCTGGCATTGTGGATTGTACAACAGGGATAGAGAATAGTATTATGCTGTGAAAATAAGTAATGCAAATTGTACAAGTCAATTTGGTTTTTTATCATCCTCTTAATAATAGTGGAATTGTGAACTTGGTAAATGTATCACTAATGGCTGCAACTACTGACCAAAAACACATAGAACAGTTTATTACTATTATGAATCAACAGTTGCATCTTATATCCTTCTGATGAAAATCCATTCAAATGAGAAATTAATTTTCGGAGTATACTGAGGGAAGTATGTTTAAATAATTATGTTATATGTAATTAATTGAGAAATCGCCATGGCATTCAACTAAATTTGTTAATTCCATTTTTCAACTCAATGTGATAGTGTGGTCTTGGAGAATGAATTAAAAACTCTTTCTTATAGAGGCTAGACACTCTTACACTTTTTTAAGCAACTGTAATTTCATTAAATCACTGGAGAAACAGTTCAGTTTTAATGCCACTTGTTCTATATATTCTTTAATAAACATCCAGCATATTTTTTTTACTATAAACTCTAGAAAAACCACCAACCATAATTTAAATTATTCTACATCAAAATCATTAATACACATTCAACACAAACTCAAAATCAAAGCCGGTTCATCTGTACATGCTAAATCTCAAAACACTAGCAAAAACTCATACGTTTAGACAACCCAAGTTTTCTTACCTTTTCGTCATGATCTGACTCTTCGTTTGAACCATTTTCCGAACCACCTTCGGACGTGGCTCCTTCTTCTTTGGGGGCATTATGCTTTCGTGCTTGTTTATCCATGAGACTTGTGCGAGATCGCGTTTTCTTCCAACTGTAGTAATATTTGACCAAACTGGCTATACTCTTATCTGGTAACTGAAAAAAACTTTGTGAGGTACCTTGTTGAATGAAACCACAATTATTTTACCATCTGCCGTATTCTATGGAAACTTTTTCCATGGAATTGAAATGCCTGTTCAAAAAGAACCTTATCTTCCACAGACCACTCATCAGGGAAAGGGGTAAAGTTTGCCAAGTCCATCATGGCACGATCTAAATCATGCTTATGCCAGAAAAGCATTCCAAGGGCTTGCTCTCCGTTATATCCATATCTATCTTTCGCTAATACTATATAGTCTTCCACTGTAATAAAATTGAGTTTGAGTACCCAATTCATTTTTATATTAAACTGAAAACTCACATTTTGATTCTTGGATCGCCTCAGTTGGTGACCAAACTAAGAGAGCTCTGTCAGCGAGGGCCTCAGGTCTTCTTTCTTCATCAGGTTGTAATTCAGGGCAAACAGCTTGATAATCTCTTCCTACTCTTATTCTATCTATAGGGGCTGAAAAAAACGCAGAGTTTCAAACAATGTTTTGATAAAAAAATAAAGAATATATTTTGATCACCGAAAATCATACTTTTATTCAACGTAAAATCTGAAAATACAAGATTATCAAGGGGAATCAGAGATTACCTCCGCTTTCGTCCTCGCTTGTGGAATCATGTACGTGACCATTTGGACTGGGCCCTGTACTTCGACGCCCATTTCGAGCGTTTTCACTATTTTTTTCGGCTAATACCATTTTCGCCAGTTTGACTGATTAAATCACAAAAAGTAAATAAAAATATTTTTCCTTTAAATGGAAAACCAAGCTTTATGATTCACTGTTGTCACAGTGTGCTTTTCTCAAAAATAGCACTGCACTGACTATCTTCCATCGGAAAACCGTAGTTTTTGGAATAATTGAATGGTTCTTTTAGATTACGCTTGGCGCTACTAGTTCCGCTGTCACAAATGTCTACCATTGAGTTTCCTTTTTTTCGATTAAAGAGTAACCACCAAGGCGTTGGTTTGTTTTTGAGCTTGAGGCCTACACCTAAATGAACATGCGCAGTTAGGATTGTAATTATAAAAAAATGCGAAGAAACCTGCACGGAGATATCATTCAGCAAAATATATGTAAATAATATTAATTATAGATTAATCTCTCATGAATTCACACAAACAACAAGAAATGTGTTTCACTAAAATACAAAAACGTGGTAGGTTAAAATTCAGAAACTAAGAATATGTTCCTGAATAAGTTGAAATCACAGAATTCATAAACTCAAAACTCATGACTAAAAAGTACATTCTCTATGATCGCGCTTGAAAATGTACAAACTAGTGGTGATTGTAATGGGGTTAAATTTATATTATCACGGAGATCCGGTTAGAGATTTATATGTAAACGAAGCGGTGTTATCAGATATCAGATAAGAATCGTAAATAGTTTTGTTTTGATCTTACAAATTACTTTCTTAATTTAGAGAAAGAAACGGTAACTTTTAGTGATGAAGATAAACATAACTTCATTCTTTGATAAACATTGTTTTGGATAGCACCTCTTGTGATTTTTTTCTATTGTCAGGTTACGCTTTTACATTTTTCGGAACTACTGTTTACAGTACAACAAATCAGTGTTTCAGTAAGAGCATGTGTTGTGCAGCCACCATAGTGTATAGTGTACACAAGTTTTTATGAGTTCTGTGGTCAAAATATATGTCGGTTACCCCAGTGGGGTGTAAATAGGAGACCAGGGGTCTAAAACTTTTGAAATTTTCAAACGGCATTTGAATTACAATATTATTCATAGGAATACATAAATATCCCACCGAAATAAAGTGGTCCTCGCTCCAGATATAAGATTATATGCGTTACATCATGGTTACACGATAACTAATCTCGGAGTTGATAACTATACGGTACGCATTTTTGGCAAATTTGTAGGATTGATCAACGTGAATCATTTTAATTGTAATAGTGGTGGGGTCAAAACGAATCATGAAATAAAATTTACAAATTGTGTATCCCAAAAAGTCACTTGAAATGAACTTGGATGATACTACAACCATGCAAGCTTACAAATTTCTCATGGTCTAGGATCGCCCGAAAATAATTCTGAAGTAGCATTATCAAGCTCAGTCACTTCAGCTCCTATTTATTGAAAATGAAAAATTGATATTCATTGAGAATTCATCGAAGTTTCAGAACCTCAAATTTATGTGCATCATCGACAGAAAAATTAGAGTTCATGTAATTTAATTTCTCTTTTGACATCATAAACATATAACTTGTTGTTCGATTCTTCACAGCTTCAAAAATAATAAAGTTTTTTTCGAATACTTTTCAGTGTCCACTTTGAAATATATATAAATATATATATAGAAAATATAAATGTGAACTTCCAAAAAGAAACAATTTATTTCTACTTATAAGTGATAATAGCCGTATTCGGGTTAGCCATCGGAAATATTTGAAAACAGTAAAAAATACGCCTATTGCTTTAACTTAATGACAATATACTTACACTCGTCATCTTCCTTCTTTTCCTCCGAAATCGGAATCAGATTCCTAAGAACTCGACCACCTTTTCTTCGAGTCACCTTTATTTCTGCCATACTTGAAGTTCAGAATAAAACTAATAGAGAGCTTTTTAAAAACAAATTCAAAACTTCAGATTTTCAATAAGCTCTGATTTCATTCCTTGTTGGTCGATGTAGCAATCTGAAACTCTTTCCACTTACTGCTGGTCCTCTCAAAAGACAATCAGATGCCTAAACCTGAGGTCCTGGGTACCTGAGGACCTGGGTACCTGAGATCAAAAGTCAGCTCTCAATTTATTGAAGGTAGAAACTTACGCAATTAGGGTATAATCCACAGAAACACAGAATACAACAACTATATACGTTTAAATATGAAACAGTACTCGTATATCTGTTGAGGACTCTGAGGTTATGGATGAATCCTAAAAACGAAATGTTTTATTGATGGTGAAATTTTACGGTAAATTTTGAATTTTCATTAAGGATCTAGATTTATCGATTGGAAAAATCTGTTATGATAGAATTTGCTGCAATTTAGACAAAAAAGAGTTGAAATTAGATCGATAGAAATTATTGGTCAGAAGGGCAACTACTAAAATGCAGTAAAAATCACTGAAATATATTCTTTTATTATGTGGTTCAGTCATTCACAATGCTCATATCAAGACAATCTTTTGTGATATCAGATGTCAAAATGTGTTACTCCCTTTGTAAGGAAAACGATCTTGATTAAATGTGAAAAATGTTATATTCATTGAAAGCAGGTACATACATAAAAACCAAAAACTTGAGTTCTGCAGGAAAATAGTAATATAATACAATAAATATCAATGAATATAACAAAAAACATCATTTCACCGGCGACCCAAAACGTAGATTCTATTGTAAATTAATGTCAATTTATAAGGCAAATTATTTCGATTGTGCCAACTGCCATCTATTCAGCAATGGCACACTGAAATCTTCCAAAAATTGACTTGTTTCTGCTAATGATGGCGAAAAATGTGTTATAAAAATTCATAATCATCCATACCTTCACCAACATCCCTAAGACTATATACGTAGTATACGGTCGTATACGTAGTATTAAACCCAATTGGATTCGTATTCATTTTTATTCTAATCGAACTGACGCAACTGTTTATCAAATATTGTTGTTGCCCTAATCACCCCTACTAAGACCTTTGCCTAAATCACCTTGTAAAACTATTGAACAACCTGACACTACCTGTCAAATTTTTCTCCTGAACTTGACGCCTTGTCATTTTTTTTAATTTTACCAGATTTGGCACATAAAACGTATTTTGAAATATTAGCGGTTGCTCATCTAGTGGAATTGGCCGCGGTGGTAGTGCGCCCGACTCACGATCGGGTTCGATTCCCGCCTCGACCAGATATTTTTCTCGAGAGAATTTATCTGGTTGAAGCTGGAATGATTCTGCAACCGTATTAGGAATCACACGTTAAAAGGTAAAACCTCGTTAGTCCTTAGCTCGTACAAGTTTCTCAACTTCTGAGAGTTGTCGTTCGTGTGGGGGCGACAGCTGATTAACGGAAAAACAGATTTTTGATGGCACAAAAGACACTGAAGCTTGAAAAAGAAACCACCTTATTATATATAATTACTAACGTACACTGCCTCGATGTCAGCTCTGATTTATGATTGACAAAATCACCAATTCCTTGTTAGCAGGGAACAACGTATATAAATCTAACACAAGCTTGATTTTATCATGTTCAAGTTTAATAACCACTGGATCGAAATTTTTCGATCGATAGTAATCACCTCGAGATTCTCGAAAAGTTCAGATATTATTTTTCGAACCTTGACTAGGATTCCGTAATCATACTATACTGCCGTACACAGAATGAATTTTCAGCTTTATCACAAATCACAGAAAAAAGTGTTCTGTGACTTTATTTTATGTCGTTGGCAACCATTGACTGGCTGACACCAAAAAATATTATGTGAATGTTCGAGCAAGTCAGACTGTACCTCCCGACGAAGCTCCTATTATATTATGTAATAGGAGGCGCACTGGTCAAATGCGCCTGATTAAGGAAGCAATGACCATAAGAAGCAGAAGAAGAAGAAGAAGAAAAAAGTTAACCATAACCATACTTTCACATATCTTTAATTATTTGGGGTTGTTGAAAGTCGAACATGTCATTTATAAATTTGATTTGTAAGAGATATATTTCTACGACTTCTGCTCGATACGGAAAAAGAAACTTCAAAAAATTTCCTATATATAATAAACGAGGTTCTAGAATTTTCAAGAAGCAGCAGGCAGAGAACCCAGATCCTGATGTTCCGATACACAGTATGATTTCTTTACCTGTTTTCTTTAACATTATCAATTATTCAAATTCATAATTATTCCATTTTTTTATTAGCAAGAGGTGTGAGAGAAATAGGCTATAAGGTTGATGGAAAATTTGTGGAAATTCCTGAGAAAATACCACAATTGGTTGTACCTGATTTAACAGGATTCAAGGTAATTTAAAATTTTTAGGCATTTCCCATGTAAATATTGTTATTTTTGTTTAGCTGAAACCTTATGTATCATACAGAGCCCCGGAGGTAACGCAGTCTAAATTTACTGCTGAAGATCTATTTAATGTTGTGTATGCCCCAAAAATTGTTAAAGATTTCAAAGAAGGCAAGCTTGATAGCAATGGACAACCACTAGAACCATCTGAAGATGAGAAAATGACTGCAGAAGAGGCAAAAATCAAAGCAAAGCAAACAGGAACAGATATATTTTAGATCTGATTCAGAATGAACTATTAAAAAAAAATGTTACAATTATACTGTGAAGGGTTTGTTGTGAATAATTCACAGTTTCTTTACGTTTTTGAGTAATATAAACCTCTAAAGACACTAATTAGTCAGTAACTTGTAATCATACAATTTACCTATCAAATAGAAAAATAATTTATATACTTAGTTTCTCTTCATTCTATTCAGAAGCAGTTATCAGTGTTTTTCATCAATATCGTAATCAAAATTATGTAGTAGGTTGCTATTCTTTTTGGGAACCTAAATCAATTTATTTTATATAACAAATGCCATGGTGACGAAAAATTCAGAACAGTTCTCAAAATAAGTATATAAGTTACAATTTCTAAACCAGAACTGCTATACTTTTTCTTGACACGTGTTTCACCAACCAAGTTGGTGTCTTCATGAGATGAAGTGAATTTTGGTGTTTGGGAGAAATGCTTGTTTTATTTATTCTGTGTCAGAGGCCCTAGTTCAAATTTTCTTTATTTCTAGTACTATAATTATGAGTTGCTTCAAGTTTACTAAATTCTATTGTTGAGTAAATGTTTCCCAACAAGTTATGAATGAAAACACAAATCAAGTAAGTATTCAGAATATTGTTTGGTTATAAAGACTGCTAATTAAACAAAAAAGGAGTTCAAATATTTTCTAGATAGTTGTGTTTTGAAGTATTTTCAATTTATTATAGAAAGTTTTACTTCATACCACAATCAAATGAGACATTATCAGAATTGGTAAATGAGTGATAGAGAGCTTTTTCATGTGTAACAGGTGGGTATTTTACTACTCCACCCAGTATGCCAAAGGCGGTAAAAAATTTCTTAAATGAATTACATTATTTGTAAAAATCCTAGCGTAGCAAAACGTTTCTAAATAGTGAATTCAAAATCTACTCTCTCTCTAAGTGAAAATATGTCTTGATACAGAAATAATTGATTGATCTTTTAGATGTATCAAACAATACATGTAAGTGGAACTTTGAGGATTAACGAATATTTCAATATCACATAAGTAACAAGCAGAAAAGACCGACTTGTTTTTTCAACGATGGCGGTCGAATTTCTATCTTGTTCAGCGATTAGCAATATGTATTTTTGCGAGTCACTCACAGAAAGATGAGCGTGAGAGCTTATTTGGTTGTGTGAATATGACTACTGAATCTGTTTAAAATCTGTTTTTCCGTTATTCAGCTGCCGCCCCCATACGAACGACAACTCTCAGAAGTTGAGAAACTTGTGCGAGCTAAGGACTAACGAGGTCTTACCTTTTAACGTGTGATTCCTAACACGGAATGCTTCCTTTGCACAAATCCTACTGGGATAATATCTCTTATAATCACATATTTATTTAGTTGAAATATACTTTAAACTGATTATAAATGAATTACATATACAAAGTATTACATTTCAGAGAAATGTAATTGCAGGATTTTGCATCTTGATAATTTCTGTAAATTATTAGAGATAAAAATGAATTCACAACTATATAGAAAAAACCTAGTTAGGGATTTGATTTCTTGAATTATTTTAATTAATATACATTCAGTGTGTGTAGTGGGTAGAGGTATTGTAAAAACATAGACATTTTCAATGTTTTTTTTTTCACTGTATATATTTACACAAATGCACATTTCACTTTCTAAATATTCTACTACAATATTAACCTGAATGCAGATGATGAAATGGTGTTATTATTGAATAGTGAATGACGTCACTATTGAGAGTTTCAATATATATTGTTATACATAAAACAATAACACTTTTTATTCACAAATAGATTATTTTGAACATGTGTTTTACATTGTAATTGTACAAAAAGCAGCTAATATGTCTTCATTTAAATGGCAGTCAAAGCAAAAGATCTCAACGTAGCCCGTTCCAATCTGCTAAATAATTTAAGCGGAACTAGTTCTTCGATTTTTCAGGATACTTGCAATGAAAAACTCTCCTGCTTTATAAGAACTCCTCACCAAAGGTCCACTGGCCACATATAAGAATCCCATTTCTGTTCCTACTCTTTCCCAATGTAGAAATTTCTCTGGGGTGACATATTCAATGACTTTAAGGTGTCGCTTTGTGGGTTGCATGTACTGACCTAGAGTTACGCAATCAACTCCAACCTCTCGTAAATCTTCAATTGTAATTCAGAAAACTCAAAATTAGTTCAACAATATAGAGATGAATATGAATCAATAATTGATAAATACACTAATAATATATTTTCTGCAATCTTAATCAGTCATTATGTTACTCAGGAATTCACAAAACACTCGCTGATTTTGATTAGGAAATCTGTTTTTTGAGATACTGTTCAGGTCTTTATGTGTTATCTTATTTGGCATATGCATATTATGGTTTTTCCTGAATGATTGCAATTCTGTGAGTTGACGATCATCATGATAGATTGATAATTTACTTCAAAAGAGTTACGTAAACATATATGATCAATACAGAAAATTACTTGTCTGAGAAACAGAAGTCAATAATAAAAGAGAATTGTCATGACAAATACAAAATGTTTCGATAAAATACTATGCTAACAATATCTCAAAAAAAAATATCAAAAACATAAGTTTTAACAACTTTCCAGAGAAATACTGTAAGGCTCTAGAATACATAACAATCCTTCAACTGATTTGCTAAGCTCCTAAATGGATTTTTCATGGATTAAATACAAACAATTGTTTTCAATTCCTGTTCTGTAGGCCATTTCAGTGGTTAGCAATAGTGTGATGTATTGGACACGCATACAGTGCATCCATGAAGTAACATAAATTTAGATTCACTGATTTTTCTGATAACAATTTGTTATACAAAATAACCCGAAGTGAAAGAGGTATAAAGACGGTTTTGGCTTTCTACTCCTTCATCTTTATACAAAAAAATGTGGGAAACTTCACAGTTTGTATTTGAAAGTAACTTATATGCATAATCTACACATCAGCTCCGGATCTTCAACTATTTTTTAGATGGTGCAAAAACTGAAAAATGCTGTCTCCCCGCATACTTATATTTTTTTTACCTTTATCATCTTTATAATTTCAGCTATCAGATGTCCACTAATTGATTGACATTTGGACACAGGTCTTCTGGAAATAATACATTCATTGCTGTCCTTTTTGCGTTACAGATATGTAGGACGTGTAGAACATATATTTTATACATAGCATAGGAGAGTATTTAAAATGAAAATAGTATAATCAAAATATATATTATTGCATATTGTGAATTAAAATTACAATTTTATTCTTTGAGCTTTTTGTTCGGCAAATAAATCTATGGCCTTGTCACTCGATAAGCATTTCAGGCTCAGAAGTTCGCAAATTATTTTTAAATAGTTTTAGTTTGTGGTAAAACTTCGCTCACAGCTCGCGAATGTAGTAGGACGTGAAGAGTATATTCGCAGAGCAAAACAAATATTAGGAAAAACATCCTGCAAATCATGCGCATAGATATGTTGCAAGAGATAGAAACCGTTAGTTTTTTTTATACCATCAAATAAAAACGTTGAGTTCTTGGTGGAATTCAACTGTGCTCAAATCTCGCTCGTATTTTCGAGCCAGAGCTGCTCCATACTTTTGCAGTTGTTCAATTGACATTTTCAAAATAATAGTATCATTAAGAGACAAAATTCAAATTCAGCATGATACCATATTCAAACTTCTTTTTGAAGAAAAGAGAAATGAATCTTTCTATGTTTTTCACCTCTTTCATTTGTAACTCACGTTACTGAAGTTTCGTCCTATACGATACGATAAACTTATACAATAAACTCCAGTTTATGCATGGTAAAAAACAGAAAGTTTATTTCTCTTTTCTTCATTATGATTTCCTACCACGTAGTAACGGCTACATCCATTAATTAAAACTTTTTTTTTAATTTCTGATATGATTCGAGCAAATACCATCATTATTTCTTTGGGAAATACTTGAAAAGATTGGAGTGTTTGTAATTCGACTTCACACATCTCATCGAAATGTTTTTTAAATTACGAATTCGTTTATTTTGCAAAATATGCGTGACACCATTTTGTTTCAGCAACTTATCCTGCCTCTTTTATCCAATAGTATATTGGATTTTATCTTTTTACAAAGGTTTGGGCAGACCGTCCATTAGTATGACGGAAAGAGCAAGGATAATATCTTCTTTCTGAATTTCTATTTCCACTCGATTGAGTTCGTGGAGAATATTCGCCCAAATAGAAAAAATTGAGAATAAATTTTGAATTCTTTATAGCAGTTATGAAATGACCCGCCTCATACTTAGCTTCTGGAGCAATAGAAGTTTGCTTAACTTCTTCTGAGTCTTCCGCTAGTTCTGGCAAATTATTTCATAGGCATTTACAGCAATATGGTTCGTCGACCATCTCGTCTGACTACTTTTGAATTTGTTTTAACAACTTTTTTCATAATGTCCCACTTAGTAGTAGAGCCAACATAAAAGCAGTATACTTTTTGAATCAGTCCAAATAGGTTAATAGCTTCCTAGTATGATGAGGCAGAATGAACACCTACAAGATTCAAGGATTGAGCCAAGCACGTTACGAACTCGGTCAGCTCTTTCGATGCTCCGATCCTTGCTTGTTCTTCTATATAGATGCCGGCCATATTGGACCCATTATCATAAGATTAGCCACGACATTGCCCAATGTCTAATACGATCGACAACTACTAAATAGTAAACACAAACAGACAACCCACCTATTTGAAATCTAACATTGTCGTGGAGAGAGATCGACGCGGTAGTTTTCAAATATAGTTTTATCACCTTCGCACGCACGGTAATTAGAATCGTGCGATTCCTACCGGCGAACTATTCCTACGCGCCTCGCGAATAATAATGTTCGTGCCTAGTGTAGGTCAATGTTAAGTGAATGATGAGCTGTCCATTCGTCTGTAAAGTGTGAACTTGGCCCCCTTTGAACTTGCCGCCCAGGGCATAGGCCCTGTCTTGCCCCCCCTCTAGATCCGGGCCTGCTACACATCATCCATGATGATAATTATAGAATTTTCACAGTAAATTTTATTAAAAATGCGTTTCACTTTATGGTAGCGATTTTGGCTCGTTTTGGATTTATTCAACTCCGACGGTTCCAAATCTACTTTTTATTTTTACTTTACGGGTAACCTAATGGTAGCATTGTATAGATTTTTAAAAAAGGATAAGATAATACCTTTCAAAGTTTGTTCGACTTCTTCATCAGTTTCGCCGAGACCCAACATGATTGAGGATTTTGTGATAAGTTCAGGGTTGAATCTTTTGGCTGCCTCTAACGTTGATAAGGATTGCCTGTTGATGAAAGTTAAGATGATTAAGGTTGAATTTATGTTCAAAATTTTATTCCAAGCCTCAAGCATAAGCTTAAAGTAATAATATATGAATTTAAATTTCTGGAAAGGAACGAGTAATATCTGATGTGGACTAGCAGAAACAAAAAGAAACAAACTGAAAAGAAGTTCCACTGTAGTTGTTGGTATATTTTCAGAAACTGTTCTGTTTTGAGTAAATCATACAGACCATATGAGGAACCAGTGTAAGAAAAAACTAAATTCTTGTTGATTTGGGACAGTTGTTTTATGTAAGGAGTGAAAAAAAAAAAGATTTATTTCTTGAAATTATTTCTTGAAATGCTCAAAATCTAAAAAATCAAAAGATAGTATATGAAACACAATATATACTTAGAGAAACGGCAGATAACTAATGCACCTCAAAAGTGTTCCTGTATAAGTACCTTCTGGTCTTATACAGGTGTTTGCTGGTTTTCAAATTTATTATAATTAGTGGTAGAACGTACCTATATCGAGCCCTCCTATCTCTAACGAAAGGCGTCAGAGTCTCGACTGTTTCAATATTGTGGGCATATACGTCCAATCCACAATCAACTATGGTCTTAACTTGATCAAGGTCTCCCCTGAAATCTGGGACCAAGCATTCCACTAAAATGCTGCTATTCCTGAAACGAATGAGTTTATTAACTCTTCAACTGAAATAAGTAACATACGATGATTCTACTACGCGTCAGAAAAATGTTAAAAGTGGTTCAAGCTTTTCACAGAAGGTCGAGAAAATGTGAATGACAACCTTGGAAGCCCCAGCACATCAACAACTGATGAAAATGTTGAGGAAGTGAAGACAATTTTTACGGAGAATTGCTGAGAATGTCGGCATTTCGGTTGGCTCATGCCATGCAATTTATTCAGAAATATTGGGCATAAATGAATATTTTCTGAGAAAAATGCAAATTTACCTCGTTTTTTGAGAAGACCTCATATATTTATGGTAATATCTTCTTTATACACAAATAGTATCAAAAATGATAAATTCAGATATTATTTCTGTTATTATACCATATTCAAAAGAAATGATTGCCCACATTTTTGGAAATGCTTAACATTAATGAATAAAAGAAGAATCTCTAACCAATGCACCTATTTTTGATTTGTGATCTTGTAAATATCTGAAAACAGTGAACATTTCACCGAAATCACATGGGTGCTATTTTTAAACACTACAATACCGATATGAAAGAAGTTTGGTTAAATTTTTACTGATACGGAATTGAATTATACATATTGAATTGAAAATCAAATTCATTTCAACTTTTCTAATGAACTCTGTTCAAATTCAAGTAACACTTCATTGTGGGATTTTATTATATATAATGACGTCCAGAAAAAAATTTCTCACTATATGGAACCAATATATTTGACTTAAAGGTAGATAATATTTCAGTATTCAACCAGAATATCTTCAACAAACTTGATATTCTCCCTTGGTTGGACAAACATAAAGATGAGAACAAGTCACTGTCACACCAAAAAAAAAACACTTATACCGGATAGGGGTAATGGAAACCCCATATTGTGAATATGAAGGCCTGGAAGACCTGAACCATATCTTTTTAGAATGCCCTCGCAACGTGATTCCCAATTTAGGTATGTACATTGAACTCATCAAGGAAGGAATTCCAACACCATTCACCTTCACAGATGTCCTCAGAAGCTTGAGCGTTTCCATAATCAAATCAAATCAAAATATGCTATATTACCAAGATTTTAAAATCTTATTGGCAAAGTCTAGTAAAGTACAACGTGTATGTGGGACATTAAATTAACAAATACCAAGCTATAAAATAGTGCTTAGACAAGAGCAGCATATATGGACAGAACCATATTAGGCCCAACTGAATATACATGAATATTGAATAAATACTATGTAATGAGAATTGATAGTCATTTCGTGTTGATTTCAATAGCTTGTTTACAAAAAGATACTACTATGTGCCAATTACTCGATAGAGCTTTGGTAGAATTAATCCATACTATAATAGGGCCTCACAACAAGGAATTCTTTTACTTTTTTATGAATTTCTTTTCATTATGTATTCACCTTAAATTAATGGGAAGGTAATTAAATATCTTCTTACTATTGAAAATAATAGAATTTTGTGTAAGGGCTAGAGTAGATGTTGGAAGGGAAATGAAGTGAGACTGACGTGTACTATATGTTGAGGAGGTATTAAATTGATTTATATATTTTTTGTGGATAAGACATACTGTTTCCAAAATAAAAAGACATACTAAGGTCAGAATTTTTCGCTTCACAAACAAAGGGTAGCTGGCTGTGCATAAATATCTAATGGATCTTTTTTGTAGAAAGAATACCGTATTGAAATGAAATTGTGCACAATTTTCCCCGAAACAAATTCCATAATGTAAATAGGACTCAGTTTGTGCAAAATAAACTGATATTGTAATAACTGTATCTAACTCTCTTGCAAGAACTCTCACTGCATGGCATCCTGCTGCTAGACTTTTACATAAGTGGTCAACATGCGAATCAAATTTAAGATAATAAATTTAATCGTAAGATTTTTAAACCATAATCAAGATCAACTCATAAAGATAAATATCAGAAAATACCTTTCACCTTAAACATATCATCCATCTATGTACCATAATCAAATCTTTACATCTGTTATACTTTTTGTTGGTGCTAACGTCTTTTAGCACAATAACGTCATTTTAGGATCTCCAATATCACATACATTATATATGCACAAAACGAAAAAGAAACATATCAATCACTACTTTATTTTTTGAAGAATTTGATACTACCTGATGAACTGTAAACATTTTAACTAACCACAACTTACTGTTTTTTAATTTCTCTTACAGTTTCTGCAAAATGATTACTGCCACCATCAGGCAAATCTGTAAAAGAATTTATTTTAGAATGCCAGATACAATCATACAAATTGAATTGTATGAATCACCATCTCTGTCCACACTAGTCAAAACTACATAATCAAGACCCCATGAGGCAATAGCTGTGGCTGTATTCACTGGCTCATTTTTATCCGGGGGAGGTGGGGCTCTTGCAGTTTTTACTGAACAAAACCTACACCCCCTGGTACAAGTATCTCCTAGTAACTGAAAACAAGAAAAAGGTGAATCACAATCCCTTCAAATCTTGACTCATGAATCATAATGATTACAATTGATAAATGATGTCTTATACTTTAAAATTAAGTATCTCTAATTTTTCAAACGATAAAAGATACTATGGCAAATTGTCAAAAGATGCTGAGTTTTCTTTCAAGGGGGACAATACCAAATCCACACCTAGATTGTCAAATTGAAAATGAAAAATAATCTCAAAAATAATGAAAATTATTACTCTTTATGCAAGAAATGGAAGAGAATATCATATTCATTAACAATACAATCATGTAGAATAGAAAAGTTTTAGGATTCGCAAGAAATAGTTTTGAAAACTGGTTCAGTAAAAAATAAAAAACCTGAAAACAAAGAAGATATATCTCAAAATGGTGTAGGTGTAACTATGGAATGCATTCTCCTTTATCAAGAATAGTCATAAACGGGAATAATACAAAATTCGATCTCTTTCATATTTCCGAGGATATTCTTAGAAATAAGTTAAGATATACTTATTCTTAAATTGCTAGTATCTGTCATTTACTTTTATTCTCGCTTCATTTCAATTCTCTACTATAACTGTTTAAATTGTTATTACTTATAATTAAATTAGATAAGATTTGTGTTAACAATCTGATATTTGTATAACTTATATTAAATGGGAGTTACCCGTGAATAAATAAATAAATAAAATAAATAAATTATGTATAAACAGGTGACAGTTAATATTTTGTGGCTGATGAATAAAGGCAGATTCCAAGTGAGTTTAATATGAAGCAGACAATTAATTATTGTTTGCTATTGCCTCAAATATATTGAATGTCACATTTGGACTTAGGAAACATCAGGGGCCGTCCATTAATCACGTGAGGCTTGGAAGGGGGGGGGGAATTTAGCAAAAGTCACGAAATATCACAAGAGGGGAAGGGGTATAGTAAGATATCACATGTATTTATTTTTTTCGTGAATCGTGCGATTTTTAAACTGAAAATATGAGTTTGACACGCCGTTGGCAGGCAAAAAACGAAGTCGCTTGCACTTATATGACCGCCTGGCTCGGCTTGCCAGTTATATTGTTATTTCGGCGCCGAATACATGCGTTTTTCATTAAAACAAAGTCTAAACTAGGTGATCTGCATAAAAGACCTATTTGCAGAATATACGAAAGGAAAAATTTTAAGATTCTTTGTAGGAACTGAAAAATACACGTGATTTTGGGTGTGGGAGAGGGGTTAGTCTTAAACCTCACGTATCACCAAGGGTGAGGAAGGGTTAATAAATACTAAAAAAAACATCACGTGATTAATGAACAGCCCCTTATTAAGGCAGTTTTGCTCATTAGGTCAAACAACAGAGAAAACCACTACTGAAGATAGCTCATCTACAAAATGCTTGGGGCTATAGGTAGATGGGACCACATGAGAATCCTCTCGACAAAATTATCCTCAGGACGTTTTCAATTGAACTAGATGTCCAGACAGCTGAATTAATAGATGCACACTCAAGATACGGAATAGCATTCTAGGGTGTAACCACAACTCAGTTTTCCAATGCTATTATTGTAATGCAAAAAAGGGCATAATGCAAAATCTATTTTAATTTTAATTCTGTTGACATAATGATGACTTTATTTAGGCATTTTATTATATTCTTCAACGCGACACATTTGATTATGTATACAGGGTGTCCCTGGACTTCCTCTTTTCCTCTCGGGAATGTATAGATGGGGTCAAAATATCACCAGTACTTCATATTTATTCTTGGTGTTGTACAGTGATTGAATAAATCATAATCATTTTTGTAGGTCTCGCACTAACTTTTCTTGCAAATTATTCGAATACATCATTATTTTGTTGAATGATTTAGAGTGGATTCATTCCGTTAGCGCAACTAGTATGAAAGTCTAGGGGGAGGCTACAACCCCCAGAAGTCTAAAAGAGAATAGAATATCTCTTAGTTAATTGTGGGAGGGATGAAATATTTTTGATCATTGATGGTCCTAAATTACATTCTTGATATTATTTTTGCCATACAATCAATCAAGGGCTATTGTAGCCGTTGATTATATGTGAAGGGTAGTAGCCTAACAGCTTCTTATAGTCAAACCATAAAAAGGAGTCCTCGGTATAAATAATAATATGATATTCAGTCATTTCGTTATTTATTAATGGAAGAGACCAACACTTATTGAAATCTTGTTGTCTGCTGCTCATTTTAAGCAGTTACGATGTATGTACTATCACATTTAGAAGCTTTGTTAATAAGAATTCTATTCTTTAGATAATAAAGCATACTTTGACTTTGAATACCAATGTACACTAATGCAATTATCTGCAATGCAAGTCTGATCATAGAAAAGAAATTTCTTGCACATCTCTCGCCATCCCTGTGAAAATTCATTTGTTTTGAGAGTACAGGCAACCCATAAAAATGAATATAAAATAAGTATTTATCCAAATTACCTGTCTTTTTACAATAGAATCCGGTTTTGCACAAGATAATCAATATATATTAATAAAGCAAGTAAGCACAAGATTGAAATCTGTGGAAGGGATTTATGAAGTTCATGTTGGTTTTGAATGTATTACCATAAAAACAGAGTTGCATAAAATTTAGAGTCCTTTCTTTTACACGCGACTTGCGCGGAAGTCCTACTCTTGCAAGCATACTGTACACTTTAAACTTGCACGATACCTGCATTGCCCAAGAATTGCTTTATTGAAAAATATTCAACGAACAACTGTAAACACTTACTCCAGACTAAAGATAGGGCCAAAATATCATACGTATTGAGGTATAAGGTGTTAAAATCTCTTAAAAGAACTGTTTGGCGCAACTCATAAATTGTCAAATCAACATAACTTTCGGAAGTAAAAACAAGTGTACTTGAATGGATACATCTCCCAACAAGTAGGAAAATCCAGGTCATAATATCTCGCCTGCAAATAGGCCAAACCTGACTCACCCAAGGATACCTCATTGCCAGCGACACCAGCCCTATGTGTGAAGTGTGCAACTCTCCTGTAACTAACTGTTGACCATATCTTAACGAATTATGTGCTAAATTCCAACAAATGACTAATTCATGACATCCCACCTTCTATTAACAGCGCATTAAGACCTAAGAGTAATATTGAAAATATTCTAAGTAATATTTTTAGAAAATATCAAACTGGTCAACCTTATTTTATTCCTCTGTACTTAATGCATTTTTCAGTCACTAATAACCCTGGATGTTGATGCGACTTTAAATAAAGTAATGAGAAAAAATGTGTTTCATCCAAGGATGAAAAACATTTTACTCTGTAAATGTATTTTCATCATTATATTAAATCATCAATAACATGCTGCTTACAAATAATGGTTCTTTCACTTATGTCCTGATAAAAGTTATTTAAATATTTACTTATTTTATCTCTATTGACTAGTCCAATAGGTTTATATGATGTGTGTTTTATATACAATTGTGTGGACTTTGGTGATGAATACATTTGATTTGTTTAATACACCCACATTTGTTGAGGTTACATAATAGTTGCATGTCAATTATTTGGTGCATACCATGATGGTAGCTGTTGCCGTACCATGTTCTCCACCACCCCAGCATTCACCAATATTGGGACATCTGGCTTCTTCACATACTGTATGCAGATTCAAATCTCTTAGTTGTTCTTTGATCTTACTGAAATTTTTACCAATGGGAATAGTTCTCTTCAACCATGGAGGAAGTCTCAATCTTTCCTTATCACCTTTCTCTTGCCTCAACTTTCCTTCATACTGTTTCCAATTTGCAGAATCGTCTTTAAGAATAGGCTCTGAGTTCTTGATGAAATCTTGAAGGGACGGGCCACTTGTAATACGTTCCTTAAGGTTTTCTAAATGTGATTTATGACGGACATTCAAATCCTTAAAAGAAAGAATATATTGAAGACATGGAAAAATAATAAGAATACCAAGTATTCACCTTTTTAATGAATTTCAACAAAGCTTTAGTGTTCTGAATCATCTTTGTGAGTTAAGAATCGTCGTAAGGTTAAAGAAATTAATCAAAGGTCAAAGAATCATTATAATGTTACGAAATAATTTTTCGTTTTGTTTTGTATTATACGTTGAGGTTATGTTGTTCAAACAAGTCATGTGCCATAATCGTATGTCATATCTACAGTTATGCCACATAATAGTAATCTGTGGTGATGCTCCGATGGAATTTCAAATAGTACGATTAACAATCTTAAAGTAGTACAACTTTCGAAACAATTGTATATCAGAATTAGTTACTGACGGGGTTAGAAACAGAATTAAGTAATTCATATGTTTCTGAGGTCTGCCGGTTACAGCCTAGCTAACCTTAGAAAATTTATGTTAATAGCTTTTTTCATGGTTGTCTTCAGTGATCATATAGCATTATAGCATATCTTTTGAAACTCGGGATGATATCTGTTACATTGGTTCCAATAGCATCAAACTCGAATGCAGCATTTTTGATAAGTAAAATAAATGCTTCAACTCTTGGAAGGATCAAATACAAAGATGTCTGAAATTTTAGTTTAATAAAAAGCAATGGAAGCATAGACCACATAACCATGATAACATGTTGATTAACGAGTTCTGTGACATAGACGACGTAAAAAAGGAATTAACAGCTAGGTATCTAATACTCTTTTTTGTCACTTTTCAATTTTCAATAGCTTTTGATACAAGGACACAACCAAGATTGATCAGTGAACCGATATGGATTTCTTAACGTCATTGATCAGATTTGAAATCGTACAACATTTTAGGATATTTTCCGAAAGAGGTGCAACATGTACAACAGCATAAAATAGAGCAACATATTCTAAAATAGTACAACATGGAACATCGCAAAACTTACATTCTTGTCACAAACACAGCATTCAACTTATATGCGTTCTTGGCTGGCATTTCTTATCAGCTGGATATGAAAAACGATAGACGTAAAACTGATAGATTTGTAAGGCAAGTATGCTGCTTTCTTGCAGTAAGTTTTTAAAATATCAATTATGAAGATATTAAGTCAACAACTGCATGCAAAAGTATTACCGTTTTACGAACAGGGAAGAATCATATTATCTGAAAATACAAAGTTTTTAGTTCAGTTATTTTTTTAAATTATTTTTGTACATTTTATCATTCAGTCCATTTTTATTTTATTGTATTTTTTATTTTTTCCATTTATTATACAAATATTTCAGATCCGTTTTCCCAATATTTTCAAAATTCCATAAATTTTTATTTCATTTTTCTGCTCATAAATCTGGTAACACCTTTTTAAACAATGAAGTAATCCATGAATTATTCACTTCAATCGAAGGAGTAATATTTGCGTTCAGCTTGTCAAAGAACCCGAAATGATTGTTTGACAATCTGAATATTTAAGTAAATTGCCAGTCATTAACCATTTCCAAAGGATCGATCTTAATTTCAGACTAAAAATCTCAGGGTAGATTTTTGGTAAAATTAACGTCCATGGAAATAGCCCCGACGACCATGGATTTATGATCATGATAGTTTGTTAAGCGAAATAATGCACGTTGAGAGACAATACAGTTCTGGTCTTAAAAAAGTGATATTTTCGATAGATTGATTTTACGATAGAGGTTCCAATCCCAACTGTCAAGTTGGAAAGCTATAAACTTTAAGCAAGGCGCAACGTTCAAGTTTCATGAGTCAACCCATATGCCAGACACAGTCAAAGGATATATTCCTTTTTTCAGCAAAGATGGTTGTGACATATGGTCTTGTTGATCTTGACAACACCGTATGGATGATAGCTTAAGATGAGGAAACATTGAAAAATCAATAAATAGTTGAAATATATAAAAAGGGAAGAAAAACTAATTTCCGATATAGGATGGGAAATAAAAACACATTTTTCTTATTTTCTTATATGTCTTTATAACTATTATATATACACAATTTTACATATTATATTTTATGACTCTAAAGTACGATCACACTCAATGCAAGTACAGTAAATATGGCACATGTAATAATTGGTTTATAACTACATTTCATGTATTTTACACTAGATTTTCTTTCTTCAATACTCATTAGAATTATCAAAAGATTTTGTGAAGTTCTATTACATTTATTTATCTGTATATTCATAATAGTAACGGAAACGTTTCAGTTGATATAAAATAATGTAACAAAATATCCAATTTTCAATATATTACGTGATTTCAAAGTTTTAACATAACGCATAACAAGTAGAATTTTCAAAAAAAATCCTCAGAAACCAGCAAACATTTTCATTTTCACGTTTAATATTGACGCACTTTACTATACAAAAACAACATTCTGATTCTTCCAGTGAATAGAAGAATCCTTTGTGATAAATCCGTCTGTGAATTCGACATCAAATCTATCTCGTTGCATTGAAATTTGAGTTTTAGTTTTTTCTTCAGATGAAATCTTAACAAAATTACAATTTCCTTGATCGTATACTCGTTACTAGAAATAATGACTTTTTCATTCAATAATTTTATATACAAAATATTCCTGATAATTACTTACATACACAAAGTGATTCACAATCGAATTCATTGAAAAGTGAGAAAGGGCAATATTCAAACTAGAACTCTTATGAACATTTTTGAAACTACTGCTGTTTAACGAAATTTCAGAGACATCTATTGATGATATTCGTCATTGTCTATTATTTCAAGAGCGCCAATCGTATATTGTGCTGAAATACACATTTATCTTCAATGAAGAAGTGAGAAAAGAAGTGGTGAAAAAAATTCACATATAGCCGTTCTCATGCCACTTTTCCAGTGGCATGAGAAGGTTAAAATATTCCATCGAAATGTTGTGATATCATTAATAATATTTCTCTGGGAAATGATTTATTCACTTAACAGGGCAAAATCAAGTGACGTAAAAAATCGACTTTACATTGCCATTTGCTATCAAAGGAATACAAATCCATATTTAAAGAAAATAAATTGTATTCTCATCATCATTTACTGAAATATTTAGCAGCAACGGTTATAAACGGGATTTTTTTTATTAATTGCACAATCGAACTTTGAATACCGCCAAAATTTAGTGCATGTTTGATAAACATATTAGATGCACTTAGAATAGCTTCAAGTCAAACAACATATAGAACAGGTTAAAAAATATTTTATTCGTCCAATACTAAAGTACCGTCATCTAAAATTATCCAAGAAAATTTTATTTAGAGAAGTTGATCAGAATTGAAATTTATTATGATCGTAAAAACCCTTGCTCCATAAAATGTTATGGATGCTTCAAGCTCTTTAATACTACCTGGTAAACATTCTTTTTCATTATACGTCAAAGGAACGTCAGATTTTCGTTTTGAAAATGATGGACAGCATCATGATAACTTTTCCGTAATACGTTTTTTGGAGTGATATGTCCAAATTTTAGACGTTGTATAAACGTAAAATAACATGAAGCATAATATGTAGGTATCATAAGTACGTATAGGATATGTTGGAAATTTTGACTATGATGCATAGCGTCATAATAATATCATAAAAAATATGCATGAAGAAGAAAAAATATACTCGTCTTGGTTTTTCATAGTTCATCTTCAAGCGAGGACCGTCCGCCCGGTTCGATGATGCCTAACAGGCTGGTTCTGCTTGTGGCTAATTTGTGAATAGTCGGAATAGTACGCATTCATATATTTTTGACATTTACACAACCTTGATATGCGAACAAACTGTTTGGGTTGAATAGTGAACTTTTTTCCTGGATGCCGTTCCACCCTCACAAATCAAAATAATTATGCCTTAGGTAACTTAACCAGGAATCATGAACTTTATCGACAGATGAGAACCTAAAGGATGATAATTGTCAACCTGAAAGTTTTGTGATATTATGGACAGAAAATAGGTCACAGAAACTAAACCTCTTAACATTAATGTGGCGCCAGAGTATTGTCTCTTCTGTAACGTATTATGTGGCAAAACCGCCAAGTGTTGACTTTTCGAGCGCCGATGTTTTCTCATGTCAGATCGTGCACATACACGCCTGAAGAAGTTATTGTATAGCGAAACACGGGCTGCGTTTTTGTAAAACCGTTCAGTGAAAATCTCACAATGAAGTGTAACAAATCTCACAATGAGGTGTTTCTTGCATACATAAAATACCTCGACCAGATATTTTTCTCAAAAGAATTTATTTAGTTGAATCTGGGATGATTCTGCAATGTTAATGGCTGACGGACTGCGAATAGCCATGATGCTCGTTAGGTGGCTCGGGAAGTTATTAACCTTGCTACCCAGGACACGAGGCTAATAACCAATGTAGTCGATGCCGATGACACCCAAAAAAATAAAACATTAGAAATAAAATGAAGTGAAGTAAGGAAGTAGAATATACATTTTCGAAGTAGAACGTTCATGAATTGAATAAGCTGAAGTAAGGAATAAGCAACAAGCTAATAAACGTTTTCCATCTTCTTACTTATTGTATATAGACATTTTTTTGGGCATGCGTCAATACATCGTGTCCATAACCCCACTTTAACTTGTGCACCTACTCAATTTGTTTTTATTTTGAAAGAAGCTAATCAAAATGTTGATGGACGAAGATATTGAGTTCAATGCTTGTGTTTTGTGTTAACAAACAGGAGCTGAAATATAATTTTTAGAGAAAAAGTACAGATTAAAATTGTTGTCTTTTTACGTTCTTCTTTCAACATTTATTTTGGAATCTTCGGTCTATTTTATAACATAACCGTAGAAACCTCTAAACTTGTTCAATAGGCAAGCCAACATCAATCATTTTTTCTCAAAATTCTTGGTGATTTGAATAGAAATAATATAACTTACAAAGCTAGACGAGTTCCTAAATTCAGCGATTGATTCGTCTTTTGGTTCATTCGTGGCGTGTTTTTATTGGTTGAACCAGAAATTTTCTGTTGAATTTAAGAACTCGCCTTTTCTTTTCAAAATCGTGCCGTCTGCTGCCAACATATAGAGGTTAGTCAATATACAAAGATATAAATATGCTGCCAACAAAATTACTTCGATATGATTGGTCGATAGTTATTTCTAGTTTCCATCTTACTTTTTCATAAAGGGATACGTTGTTATTTTACTTCTTGCTTCATTTCATTTTATTTCTCATTTTATGTTTCTTTACCCACTTTTAATGTCATTGCAACAAAGATGAATTTGACGGTTACTTGAAAAATATAAATCCAAGTGAATTCATTTAAAGAGCTTCATGTTAAGGAAAACTGTACCAAAGTGATTGGATTAGTGGCTACTTTGGATATGTAATGATTCAGGACACTGAAAGAATATATCACAGAGTAACTCAAATTTTCCCAAAAAACAATGAATATTTGAATGGAAGGCCATGTTTTGGAATCTGGGTATAGCTTTCAATTCTGATCAACTTTTCTGAATAACATTTTATTGTATTTATCGAAATAAAGATATTTCATCTCTAAACGAATTCAATATTTTTTGCCATTCTAAGTGCACTTATGTGGTTGTGGAAAACGAACGAGTTTCTGACGGTGAGATTCGAAGTTCAATTTGGTAACCATTAAAAGATATCTTACAAACTTACCTAATAAATCGTTCTGTATAAACGAATCATTTTGTTGATTGCCACCAAGAAAATTGTTTCAAATTGGCTGTTTAATTTTTCAATTTAATGAAGTTGAGGAATGTTAACACATCTTATGAAATTTCAGAAGGTGAACACCACGAGTCCCGTATATACCCGTATATGATTCATGGTTCCTGAAGACAGTCGCAAGACCTCGAATAGTAGAGCAAGTTTGTGAATGAAATTATGTTACTTCATTTATGATCAACAAACGAGAAAATGAATTAATAAATGAATACGTGAATAAATACATTTTATTTAAGACGCATTTCGCTACACAGTAGACCACCAGTCCAATGATGAAGCTACTGTGTAGCGTCTCAAATAAAATTTATAGTATGAAAATTGGATAGTTTCATCAAGTTAAGGAGCCATTATATTCATGAATCACTGAATGAATAAATGAAAGAATGACTGACTGAGTAGATATAACATGATCACATATTCGTCCTTAAATGCAATAGATTGAGCACCTGCGTTCATATGATGTGATATATTTCCTAGATTTCTATAAAATTTGGTGTCCCCATTTCAGTGACTATTTTTTCATAAACTACCAATTTCATGGAACATTTGTTTTTCTTCCAAGGTAGGTTTGAATTCGACCCATTCAATGATAATGATGTACACACATCGGGTTCTGTCTTATCAGATATTTAGGTACTTTGAAAATGCCCCTTTCTCATTTTGATATTCAAAATTCACTTTGCATATACCTGGGTTAAAATGGTTTTTTATTACGTTTGATATTGCAGCATGGGTGCTGCCAAATTCGGGTGGTGACTGGAATTCATTCTCAGAGCGGATAGGCTTTTGTTGTACCATTCGTCTTCTGCAGACATACCTGGAATAAAAATACAACGTGAGAGTGAATTTACATCTATTAATATTTCTCTAATTATTCTTCTACAACTTATGGTTTATTTGACTAGTATATTTTATTATTAGTTTGGTAATATGAGGGATAGGTATACTCGTATATAAGTAGGTTCTACGATATGCTCAGTGAATAAATAATAAGTATCGAATGTCCAGAAACTCTACACCCGTCAATTGAATGTGAAATTTTGTTCAAATGAGAGAAGAAATAAGAGAATTTGCTTGGCAGACACATCTATAATATAGGACTAAATCATTGTGTCTGTTGCATCGTGCCTTTGATAATGCCTACCGCAATTGTAATGAAACACCATAAAAAAAAACTTGTTAATAAAGGCCAATCAGTCCGAAAAATAGTTTTGACACAATATAAGTTTTTTCAAGAGACAACATTGGAGGATTTCGAGCTTCGAGGGAAACCAAAAACTGTAGTTTTTGGTTATCCCAGGTTTTTTAACAGCAAAATATTTCCATGTTTGATTCATAAACTATAAATGTAGTTAACCAAAGTTTCAACCAAATCAACTAAACAATATTTTTATTGTATCATTTTCCAACAAATGTCGACACAACTTCTTCATTCAAGAACCACTGATTGTAATGAAGCAAACAATAAATGTTAAGCGAAGCTCACCACAATACATTAATAATAATAATATGTTTATTCTCAACAGGTTTACACCCATAAATAGAGAAAATACAAATACGATTCCTATTGTAGAAAGCAGTCATATGCCTGGATTGTGATCTAGTTTCAAGACACTGAATTTGTCTTAACAAGTCACTACAATCAATTTCGTTATTCAAGAATTTAACTGAAAACATAATTGCGCTACATTTTCTTTTATCTGCTAGAGCTTCTAAGGTGAATGTTTTTAATAAAATATTCTGGTTTGTGCCCCTAGCTGAATATAGTCCATTGCACTTGAAAAACATATAGATTTCAAGCACTTACGCTGAACAGATTCTAACCACTGAACGGAATTTTGATATAATGGAGACCAAATTGAAGATGCATATTCTACCTTACTTGTTATGAAAGTAACATACAACAACAATTTCAGCGTATTAACATTTAAAAAGTCTCCCCAGTTTCTGGAGAAATATCTCAGTAGCTTCAACGCCGACGCGACGATACAATATGAGTTGTATGAGTGTCAAATGTAAATCTTTGATCAATCACGACTCCTAAATGTTCAGACGTGTCACCGTTTTCGAGAGCCGTTTTATTTATGGAATATTCGAAATTTATTGGATGATGTTTTCTGTAGAATGACAGTATTTTGCATTTACCCATATGAAAATGGTTCCTGACCTTAAAAAATCTTTTTCTCAAATATCTTTCACGTACAGATCAGCTACACTTTCATTATAGATATTGATGATTTTTGTCAAAACTGTGGGTGATAATAAAAATTAAATGTGAACAATACGAGTGTATTTATCTGGAATTTTGAAGAATCATTTAAATATTTATGCCGAGAGATATTCATTTTGATAATGAGTAAAAAATATACCCTGATATTTATTATTAAATAAAATTTTCAAAATTAATAATAATAGTAAACATTTTCTTTAAGTAATAGTTGTTGAAATCAGGAATATAAATTTGATGAATCAACGCCATGATATATTTTGAGTCCATACTCGTAGATGGATGCTACTTTTATTATTAGCAACAACAATTCTTCATTTCTGAAATGCATTAGAAATTCTAGTTTACCAATAAGATATAAAAATAAAAACTACCTTACTAGATGGAGCTGAAAGAGTTCAGCACTTTTCAAGTGCTCAGCTGTCGACCAGAAAAATAAATCGCTAAAGATGATAATGATTTAACATTTTCATGATCACAATTCGAACATTATCATTCATGTTTGTTTGAAGGTGATTGACACTGCTTCGTGGTAAATATCATGATATGAAATTTGAAATCTCTGAAAGAGAGAGCTGACCATTTGGCGGGAGTTGGCCGTTTTTCGCTTGATTATGGGGGTCCATATGTTGCGTATTTCTACGCTAGCTTGGATGAATGCATTGTTGGATAACGTATATGCGGCTACTTTGAATTTCCTCCTAAACCAGTGTTCCTCCCTGTGGATGATCTCTGCTTGAGACCACTTGATGTTAAGTTGATGCTCTGCTATTCCCGATTTGTTGGTTCCTCCTCCTGTGTGTGTTTCACACACACATCAATCGACTAAAAGAGGAATAATCAAAAATGATCTTTTATGGAATGGTTACTCCAAAATGATGTTGGAACAGGCTTTGGCTAAAAGACGACAAGAGCCTTGCAAGGAAGAGATGCCATCACAACCAGTACTTGCACTTCCCTAGTTCAGAGGATTGTCGGAAACGATAAGAATAATTGGGTCCAAGTACATCAGAACCTACTTCAGATCCGGAAACACTATCCCAGCGAATCGGGAATAGCAGAGCATGACTGGCCTCATCAACATAATATCAACTCTATTACTCAGTTAGTAGGTGATCAATATAAAGCACAATTTCAAAATTGAGGAACAAATATGGTAGTTATTATAAGATTCTTTTGAATTAATAATTCCAAAATTTGGTTTTTCATTTATTTGTTACAAAATGAAAAAAACGTTGAATTAATATATGGTTTTTTTCATTTAGAAATGCTTGGTAAAACCCTCGATAATCCATGAATGATGACGTTATTTCAATTTGGTCATCCAGTAACCAACTATCAACCTATTGGCTTAAAAGTGTCTACTCCCTGGTCAAGTATTCAAATCAATATTTTTTCATTAAACTCTACCTCTTACGAAACTATTTAGTGCTGGATCCTTCAATTAGGCCCCGTAATAAAAAAGTTCAGGGAAAGCTTTGAAAAGTTTTTCTGACAGGAAATAACGTAGTTTCCGCGACACTGCGCTAAGATCATGATGAACGCCTTCGAAGATGTTCCATTTCCGGAGCTCTGATGGAATTTTGGTCACAGCAAGAGTAATACAAATCTCAAGGTAGCTCGTCTATCTTTGCACCAGAATTTATATATCAAATATCTAGAGACCCACATAACGTCAAATTGACCGGATATTAAGTGGATGGGAAAGAAGGTTATAAAATGTGTAACTCAATAACTTGGTTATCAGGTGTTTGATATACCGAGTGAGTGAAATTCATGTGGTAGCAATTTTGTGTATTATAGCGATCATTAATATGATGTTCAAAAATCTGAGCCAACCCATTTACTTTTGAAGATCTACAGGAGAAAACGAAAAATCCGTTTTTATATTTTATTTTAATATCTGCTTCATTTGAATTGATTCAAAAACCTGACTTTTCTAGTTGCAACTTTCGAAGGAGTGTGCAAATATGCAAATATTTGAAACAGACTGGTTCTATTATCTCCTGATGATGCTAACTTGTTTAGCGAAACGAGCGTCGTGAGACAGTATGTTTTTCTGGTTCCAAGGTTCCAGAGGTTCCGATAAATCCAAACAATCCAAAAAATCTATTAAATAAATAACGTAATTTATTACCATTATTGATTGAACAACAATCTTCATTTCTGATGGTTGAAATCCGGGCTAATTTTATAATTACTTTTATAGTGATTCCAATAGCGATGGTGAACAATGCGAAAAAGAGATACCAGTGAATAAGAGTTGGATGCATTTAAATATTGAAACACAGATATTATGTTTCGATGTATATAAGAATCCACATCTCAAGTTTGGTTTTGAGGAAAACAAACTATTACAAGCACCAACAGCTTCAACCGAAATTCCTATCTCAACTGTACGTAAAATAGTCAAAAACAAACCTTATGAACGCAAGACGCGATGTGATACAGGATTACCAAAACTCTTAGATGTTCATCTAATAAAATCATTGCAAAAAAAACAATACTTATACGACTATTACAAAAACGATGAGATTCCTACAACTGAAATCATAAGCAAGAAATTAAATACTTCCGGCCATAACGTAAGCTGCTTTGACAAAACTCTTCAGAATTGGAAACAGAAGAAGACTGGCAGAAAAGGATTAAAAAAGTAAGTTTATTTGAAAAAGACTATATGGAGATTGGACACTTCTATATTAGTGGTGGAAATAAATTAATTATTGATTTAAATGACGACAGTGATACTGAAACAGAGATGGAAAATGAATTATCAGAAGCTTTCGAAGAAAGTGTTAGTGAAGTGTTTTTAAAGCGATCGATTGTATATACCTGTTATTTGAATTCCTACTTTTTCACTCACCTATATTGTACGTTGCACTATATCGTTTACTTGAACTATAGCTACAAGCTAATGCCTAATTTTTAAAACAAGGTAACCTTAGAATATCTGTTAAAAAACCAAATAATGAAATGGAAATATGATAAATTGGGAATTATACAGGGTAGCGGAAATATGATATCAAATGCTCTGAAGGTTTGTGATAACGATTCTATTTGTTCTATATTGTAACATACGAGATCTATTAAAAAATAAAGTGAATTTTGATTTTTCATTATGCATGGCATAAGCCAACTGATATGCCGATATCCTCAGTAACTTTCATAATAGTGCTTCCGACTCAAAGTACAATCACCGTATGCCACTGTTAACATTGTACAGCTCGAATAATCTAACAGACTGAAAACAGATTTCAACAGATTTTCTGCACATCTTGAGGGAGGGGCTTCTCACCGGCCATAACTTTGTCCGGCAGCTGTATACCTAGTGTAGTCTTTCAACAAATGATACGAACTTCTCTATTAATTTGAGAAATGGATCACCCTATATATGTAACCACTTCCACCTGGTTAACCAAACAATATACAAGGAGGCTGAGGCCTACAAAACGATTGAGTAGCTGGCTATTATTTCAGATTTCAAAATATCTTTTTTGTACCATTTCTGTGACATCTGTCACAATTTTGTTGTTTTGTTGCACTAAGTGAATGAAATAGTGTTTCATGTGTTTCATCAGTTTCTGATACGTTTTAGAAAGGAAATTTTCTGTTTTGAAGAGGAAATAGGAGCTACCACAGTGACCAATAGGTCGACAAACAACCTAACCCATTCATAAAGAAAATTAGGGAGACTGAAAGCAAATCCTGAAGACGAAATTGCTTTCAACTTTCACTGTAAATAGGTTATAATAATAATAATAATATGTTATTTATTTAAGATTCAAATACAAATGAGAAGTATAAATTTAAAGTTCAAATAAATAACGAGATGCTCGATAAGTAAGTGAATACTTGTTTGGAGATACACATTTGGTGTGAATGGGCATATACATACATACATTGAAATAGTTAAACAAAAACATAGAATGAATAACATATAAAGGTATTCGACTACGAACATATTCAATCGTAAATGTAATCAAACATGTACAGCTATTATGATTTGTTATTATACTTAAAATAAAATAAAATGAAAAAACAAACACTATAATACAATACAAAGATACAGTTCAAGATTATTTAGCTTTCAACCAGTTCTGTTTAATATAATATATCAATCGTTTGTATTCCTGCTTGATAAGAGTGAGACATAGGTATTTAAAATGGTGTTCAATTTTCATTTTCCTTGAAATAAAAATATGAAAACAAATAGTATAATACAGTAATACAATTTTCAACTAAGCGAATATCAAACTTTCAAACAGTTTAGTTCAATACATATCAATAATCTATATACCTGTTTGCTAACAATGATACATCGGTATTCAAAAGGTTTTCAATTTTCATTTTCCTTCGATTATTTCAGTGACTAGGTACTATTCTAGGCATTTTCAGAATGTATTTTTTAAATTATTTTCAAGGTTACTGATGAAACTGAAATAAATTGTGTTCTGCGTTGATGTTTCAATCTACCTCAGAACTTATCACATGAAATCATCTAAGAGAACAATTCGTTCAGGCCAGTCTCAACACCCTACACTCTAGGTTAATGGACTGACACCTATTAGAAAACAACTACTCCCCTGGCTAATACCACGAAGGGCGTTGGATTATATCCGACAGGTGTCAGTGCAGGATTCTTCACAGAAGTTATTCCTTATCGCATGGTTAAAGCACCCAGTTTTCATTGATAAATTATTCAATATGCATTTGAAAACGGTTTTTTTTCGTACTTACTCATTGCATCTTGCCTCATTCCAGCCACTGTGCTCATATTAGTACCGTGAGACATAGAGAATGACTGGGCCATCCCTGGGTAGGAGCTTGTAGTCATCTGTGGAAAAAATGTAGGTATGTGAATACTTATGCATCGATTTGAGGGTAACCCACTGGTTTACATATTTCGGTTTTTTTAAGGTTTTTGAGATTTATAAAATCAGAACAAGGTTCGGAAAAACAGTTGATGCCAGCAATTATAACTGCCCAGCTATGCTATCAAATACTTAGGGTTTCATGACCAGACAAATGATATAATAATGTAACGAATCTGAAGACGGCCCTGACCGATATCTTAGCCAGCAAACGCATGACTCATCGCGAACCACCGCGAAAGGTATAGATGAGTGCCGAAACCCCTAGAGAGATCTGGAGCGATCGTTGTCGATATAAAAAGGCCGCTTCTAGTCCAGAGCGGCATTCTGTATTCAGAAAGCGAATCGTGCGTTTAAATAAAGACTTTGAACAGTGAAGATAAATTAAGCGTTAGTTGTTAAGTGTTGAATATAAATTAGTTGTGATAGTGAAATATTGTTGAAAATAAATTTGTTTACAATAATTATTACAATAAATTCATGGATGTAGCCGTTACTACGTGGTAGGAAATCATTATGAAAAATGAGAAATAAAAGTTTCTACGTTTTTATACCACTTGTGTTTGTAACTAACGAAACTGCAGTAACGTTAGTTACAAATACATGTGGTATGAAAACATAATAACTATTACAGTTATAATGGTTTTATTATAGTACAAGCAGTACAGTAAAGTAATGTCTGATACATAACCACATTACCAATATGCAGGGTCGGACGTGAACAGTTCCCATCTCTGAACTTTCGTATTTTTTCAATGAGGAAAACCATAGTGTGACGGCGAGTTTGCTGTCCTTGTTCATCTTTCACTGCCTGAACCACTGTGCATGCTGTTTTTGGCGAATGCATTGGCATTCATCGCCAAAAGTGCGCTATGAACTTCATTTTTAGATAGGAAGCGAGCCTTGTGATTGAATGCTCTATTCAACACTAACTCAATTTTTATTTTTTAAATTGGACCAGCACTTCTCGAGTAATTTTCAGTTGAATATTTTTCTGGGGAATCTGCAAACGAATGATTATTGTCTTAATTTCAATAGAAAATGAATTCGGAATTCACTCTCATTCATTCCAATAAATGGAATGTTCAAAATGTTCTTCATTCACATTCTGACAATAATGAAGTACGCTGTCTGTTCCAAAAAATAAAGTGGATTTTCATTTTTCTGAAAACATATTCACTCATCAATTTCTATTTCCTCCCATTCAAAGTAGTATGATACACTTATGCGAATCTGGTAAATACGGTGGCTGAGGCACGATAACGCTGTTGTTTTTCCACAATACAGGACATTTTCTTCGTATTGCTTCTCGCAAGCAGCATATATAGAAGTAACATTTCCAGTCCGATTTTTTATGGTTTTTGGTTAGGAGTCGTAATTAGCACAGCATGTCAAATGTGGGAAGTGCTTTCTGAATTTCAATATGGTTTCGCCTACTAGATGTGCGTCAGAAGACGGTGAGAGCATTTAGTTTCACAATATTTTCACGTGCATCACCTACAATTGACGGCATAAGGCTGAAACTTTTTTTCTACTCCAGGACTATAAAAACCACATATTTTTGAAAGTATCAAAAATATAGCACGGGTATGCCTTCTATTACCTAATTTTTCGAATATTCCTCACCCAACTGTCCAAACTTTAGAGTCAACTCTCCACTGGTATCTATTCAAAATCTCTAAATTGCTTTAGGTATTTTAATTCTCGAAAGTGCCTATGGTGTTTTGTGCACTTCATAATACCGCCATTGATATTCCCGGATCCTCCGCCACAACTTATGATTTCGCATCGTCCATTCTCTAACCTCCTTTTGACTGCACTGGCCCGTTAGGTACTTAGTGAACAATCCACAACTCTTTTCATGTTGAAAATTTGTAATTATTATAATGAATAGTGTTCTCCTAGCACTTTCAAATTCTACCATTCCGATTAATTTATCGTCACTAATATATCTGATTATTATTTTACATTCACTATGCTACTATTGAGTTTTCAATCATTGTAATAATTATTATTAAAAAAATGTATTTCGGTAAACTTTTGGATAGAAAATGAATAATTTGTAATTTTTAGGGATAATTCCGTAGTATGCATTGAAATTGTTTCTTTTTGAAAATAAAGTTCTCCATTTTAAATAATATTTGGTGGGAGATATTGAGGAATAATTTATTAATTTTTTTATTCCTTTATTTATTCATACACTGTTCTACAGGTTATACCCAACTATAGAACAGGGATATAAGTCAAATCACAATACAATTACAATAAGTTATGAGATAAAAACAATACATATAGAATTAGCTGAAGTAAAAAAGACCTAATCTCAGAGAAGGAACAGTAAAAAATGTCGAGCTGAAAACTTGCAGAATTGCATTTGCCACACATGTTATGCAGAGGTGCACGTTACAGAATATTTGTACGTGGTGTTGGCAGATAAAAAGGATTAACCACTCTAGAGGTTGGTCTTGGTACAATGAAATTAAGTTTTTGCAGAATATGTGGGTCAATAATAAAATTAATAATCAGTTTAACAGAAAAATTGTGGTGTGACAATAACGACGTCAACTCATAGCATGTCCAGCTAACAATGCATCATGGAGAAATCCAATGGTCGGACGGTAGCCGGACGGTTCGACCTGGGTGCTTTGTTCACTCAATCAAATCGACCGCCGTGTTGGTCGGTGGTTCAAGCCCGAAGGTGAAGGATCGATTTTCAATTGCTATCGTCCAACCGGTATAAGGAATCACACGTTAAAAGGTAAGACTTCGTCAGTCCTTAGCTCGCACACGTTCTGGGGGTTGTCGTTCGTAGGGGTGCTACAGATATTGTCTGATCTATAGGAGAGAAGTTTTAGGAAACTTTCTCTGTATACAACTGATGAGATGGATTTCATCTTCACATTTTCAAGTGAACACCCTGTATAAGTTCTGAATTATGAAACAAATCCTCAAATATGAACAATTACAGATGATACCAGAGCACCACTGAAGCTATCAAAATTAATGAAGTAAATTTTTGTAAACTTGTGTTTAATGCCTTCATATATCATATTGGATATATCGTTTCAATGAAAAGTCCATAATTGAAGGTTTTTCTACTACTTAAGAGCTAGTCTGACTTGTCAATTTTTTCGAAGTGTGAGAAAAATAGTGGAGAGATACACTAGGTTAGGTTCAAAGTGAGTAAATCTGTTCGACCCTACACATGCCTCTCAAAGAAAATGAGTATTGAGTTTGCAGTAGCAAATTTATGTGCTATGAACATTTTTTTTAATGTTAATTTTTGCAATGAATCTGAAAACACTTTTCCGAAACAACTTGAGATGAATAAAGGACATTGTGGATGAAATATGCCTAAAATTTGAAAGGGTTATATTTTTAGGAGTGACTAATTTTTGGGAAAGAAAGTTTTTGGTTATCTACTACACCATCTTGATATAGAAAAATGTGAGAATCTTCCAAAGAAGGGAAGAAAGTATTTTTCTGTATCAAGATGGAGTAGTAGACATTTAAAATAGTGGAGTAGGTATTGCCACAGATACATCACACCCGGTATGAGATTTTTGTTGCAAAAAATGTGTGACTGGATTTAATATAAATGGATTATTTTGTGAGGTTACAGTCGGATTGGTAGGGCTGTTACGAAGAAGACTATTTGATGTCTGTCAATCTTTCGGTAAGTTTATTACCTTCGTCAGGTGTCATCTCCGCAAGGGTCTCAATTTGCCTACTTGTCAATTTGTCAACTTGCCAGTTGATGGTGATAAATTTACCGAAAGCTTGACAGGTAACAAAGAGTTTTCTTTGTAACAACCATACCAATCCGGCTGCAACTTTACAAAATAAATCGATTTATCTATTTTTGTTCATATTTTCTTTAGATTCATTCTCCAGAGTTGTAATTCAATTTGTCGATCATTCAAGGATTTTACTCCAAAGTACATTGTTTGCGAAATAATGGATTTGTTCTATAATTTTGCTATTAATTTTTATTACATTTGGCATGTTAAAACTGATAACGGGAAAAGGTTATAACTTCATCTTACTCGTTTCTTGATCTACGAGTAGGGTAAGAAAACGGTACATTTGCCCAGGTTGCAAGGGCGCAGGTCGGTTCTTGATTTTCTATAGAAATTCAGTTATGAGTTCTGAAAAAGGTTGTCAAATTGAAAGCTTTTATTTGGACGTCACTACAGAAGTTTCTGAAAATATTGTACCCCTTTTCAACACTTGTCACTGTAGACAAACTTTGTTATACCGGGATAGGAGACACTTCGAAAATACCAATATGACAAGCAATACGGTTTCCTTGAGAATTTCAATAGGGTTTTGCATTCCCTGAAATGGAAAAATTAAGAAAAATACTGGATTAATATTCAATATTCAATTCCCTTTTCTTCAAATTTTAAATATTTGCTATGTTACAATCTACAAATTGGCAAGAAGGGTTTCTTTGTGTTCAGACCGTCTCGCAAATAATATAAAATGAAAAGTGGAAAAATAAAATATTACAAATTTAAATTAGATTTTTCGTTAATCACTCACTAATGAAAATGATATCCACTCCCTATCTCAACCCTTTCTACGATATTGTTCCAACTATCCGACATTAACGAATTCAAATCTCCACAGGTCTTTACCGAACACGAATCCATTTGCAGGCATTTGCATACGATCCGCGAAAATGGCGGCTTCCGACGGCAAGCGACGCCGCCGACGCCCGGCGTCGGTTCGCCGTCGGACGAGGAAGTGCGGTCTAAGGTAAACTAATCACTCAATCTGTTTGACCTCACTTAATTCGTTTACCTGGGACGACGCTCTAATCATATATATCTAGAGAGCCGTGCCACCGCCGCGCCTTTCAAGGTCGACGGCGGATATTTGCATTTCAGCCGGTACCGAAATGGACGTCGCATCGTTTCGTCGGAGAAGAAAATAGACATTTGTTTTTGTGAATTATCTATAATTGAATAGAATTGGCCGAAAATCCATATTGAAACTCTTCAATACAGATTATTGTATGATTTTCACTATAAAGGGTTTTACAAAAACCGCGACACGTGTTTCGCTAAACAATAGCTTTCTCGAACTCTTGAGAAAGCTATTGTAAATAGCACTGAATGGAATTTAGTGTTTAAAAACACTTGAAATGTTGCCAGTGGCATACGATGATTATACTCTGAGTCAGAAAAATGCTTGCACAGAAGTTCGTCCATGACGACACTCGTCCTGGACGCCGCAGCACATCAACAATCGATGAAAATGTTGAGAAAGTGTAGAAAATTATCATGTAGAATCTTCGAATCACTATAAGAGAAGTTGCTGAGTCGGTTGGATCATGCCATACAATTTTATCGGAAATTTTGGACATGAAGCGTGTGGCAGCGAAGTTCCTTCCAAAATTGCTGAATTTTGATCAAAAAACAGTCTCATGAGAATTACCCAGGACTTGTTGAATGACGTCAACGGTGATCAAGAGTTGCCTAAAAGAGTCATTACTGGTGACGAATCATGGGTATATGTTTTCTTCGATTACCGTGGCGTAGTGCATCAGGAGTTCTTGTCACATGGTCGTACGGTCAATAAGGAGCAATACGTAAGAAACGTCCCTTATTGTGAAAAAGCAATTCATGGATTTGGCCTCACGATAATTGAAAATCGAATTCCTTCAGACTATCATTCCACGAACTAGGCTGATGAGGATAACAAACAACAAGTTTTGTCATCGCTTCATCTGACTGTGGACGAAGTAACCATTGTTCCTCTAGATGATTTGATATATCAAGCAATTTATAATAGTTAACCATGGTCCTATCATTAAGTGTTGGTTGTCCCCGCACTTTTGATGTGTATGAAAATTTCTGAAACAATTATTCGTCTACTCAACGATGAAAATATGATATTTTCACCCAATTCTATGTTTCGATTTTGAACAATGGGATGAAGCGCTGCTCTCCTTTCTCCCGCCACACCAAGGTAGTTTTTCAGTTACTCATTCTTACAATCATAGCAATTGATCACCCCATGAAAAAGTTATCTCAACAGAATTTTTCCACCATGGGTAATTATGAAAAACTTCGAAATTTAAGGTAGTTGATTTGCGAGTCGAAAACTCTAAAATACAATGAAAACACAAATAACCACACCGAATTCTCGTCAAACATATATTTACAAAATAATAGATGCCAACAAAATTGCTAGAAAAATCAAAATTTTTCTTCGCTATATTTGGATGAGGTGGAATCATCATCGGGTTGAATAACGATCGGATTTATGGAACTTAGCACATGATATTTGTTCTCTTCTTTTATAACGTGGGCCACATAGTTCTTCCACACATCACTATTACCTACTTCACTCACCACTCGTCTTATATTGTCAAGCACTACAGCATTCAAAGTCAGTGACTGATTACATTTCAGCAAGCTTTCTTTCATTGTGGCAAAAACCATTTCAATTCGATTGAACACACCATAGTATGGAGGCAAACGTAAGAGAATATGACCACGTGTTTCACACATCGAATCAATCTCTTTTTTGAAATTACGTTGTTTTATGGTCGCCAGTAATACTTTTTTCGTTGGAATATTTTCGAGTATTTCCATGTCATGATTTCGCATGAAATCAACAATATCTGCTTTTTTGTGTTATTGTTTGGTATTGTAGTCAATAACCGAGAATGATACGAAGCGTTATCCATAACAATAACCGAGTTTGGGTAAATATTTGGGAGAAGCTGCTCACTGAACCAGGTTTCGAATAAAGCCGCAGTCATATCTTCGTGGTAATCAGCAGACGAATCTTTTATATTTTTGGCCGACAGAAGCAAAGCGTTAGGTACGAAACCACTTTCATTCCCGGCATGCAAAATTATAACACGTTTTCCCCTTGAAGAAGGTGTGTTCGAAGGACAATACTTGGTTTCGTCTACCCAGCCATATTTGACAACATCATGGGTGTCAAATCAAGTTTCGTCGAGATAGATTATATGTTTACTGGATTCTCGGTAGCTTTTCATTCGCCTCAAATATTCTTGTCGGAGTTGAACAATGCGTGTCGATTCCATCATGTCCATCCGATCGTTCAATTTTTTATATTTGAAACCACAAGACAATAAGACACCTCGTAGAGTTTCTAAAGATTTGTAATTGTAATCGGGATAGTCGAGTAATTCATACCAAATCATTTCCAAGGTTGGTACTTCATTTTTTTGGTATATACCATAAATTGTTCGCCGAATCACATCTTTTGTAGCACCATCAACGTTTGCGAATTTTTTATTCCTTTGTTTTCGTTTCATTGTATGGTCAATGACATCCCCTATTTTAATGACTCAAAGAACTGTCGAACGAGATAGTTTTGTTAACTCGCATATTCTATTCATAATAGCATTCTGTGAATTGTGACAGTTTTCCTTCTTCAAGCATTCATGAATATTTAAAATTACTCGCTGAACTTGAACACGTAAGTCCTTTTTTTCAAATTCCGGATTCCTGTCGATTGACACATATTCCTCACACGTAATATTATCACTTTTTTCAAAAGGTCTCCAGAGAGACATATTGATGAAAGTACCCAAAAACACTAAGATTTTCACAAAAATCGGTTCAACGATGAGATTGGAACCTTTGGTGTAAAAGTTGAAAACTTTTTCTAGAGATCAATTTTCCTAACACCAAACTGATATTTTTGTACTCGACGCGCGTTTCGCTAACAAGGTTAGCATCTTCAGGAGAAGCAAATTGATACTGAATCTAAAGACAAGAGTTAGCTGTTGTCAACAATAGATTAAAAAGCGGACAAATTAATTTGCAGGTAGTGGTTCCACTAGTTAATTACCGAAGAATCAATTAGGATAATCATCATTTAACAAACAAAGTCCACATCGGACCAAAAAACTTTAGGTATATAAACAGCTAACCCTTGTCTTCAGATTCAGTATCAATTTGCTTCTCCTGAAGATGCTAACCTTGTTAGCGAAACGCGCGTGGAGTGCAAAAATATCAGTTTGGTGTTAGGGTAATTGATCTCTAGAAAAAGTTTTCAAAAATCGGTTTGCAAACCACTCACTACCTCACTTTACCCCACGAACACACGGCACTGATAAAGAAATATTGTGAACCGGACAAAAAATTGGTATTCAGCCAGTCCAGCTAGCATAGCCTTTACTCCTCGACTACATTTGATAGCACGTTTACTAACTATCTGAGCGACTAGGGGCCACAGGCAAGAAATGTTTATGACTGTGCTCTTATTTTTTGTGCCGTTCCAATTGGGAATGGATAGACTATATATCAATTGCATTTGATTAAAATAGATATTTGCATATATTCTGTATAATCTTCGTATTCATTAAATCATAGGTAAGGGTATATAATTCTAATATACAGAGGAATAGAAGGTCACTAAACTATTATGAAAAAAAAACACTACATTTCGGGTTTAAATTCGGAATTTAGTTAATTTCATATCATAGAAAATTCGAGGTCCTTATACACGCATCGAGCGCTATCGCTATCCAAAGTGTGAACAATGCCGTTTGAAGACTCGAAAGATCCGAACGAAAAAAAGTCATCGGGTGTAGGGGGACTAACCTGGGGATATCTGTTGATGGCCGTGGGATGCGGATAGGGCTGATACCCTCGCGCCGCCCCCGGATAGATGTTCCGCATCATGGCGCCGTTGCAGCCGGGCAGAACGCTGGGGGCCAGCGCTTTCTGTAGTTGCTTTTCTTGTTTGCGGTATTTCGCCCGCCGGTTCTGGAACCATACCTGCGAATAGAAAAGAAATTATTCGATCATTATCCGATGGGGCGGTGGGATATTCGAATTTCCGGCCGTCGCGGGGCGAAGCATAATCACTTTTCGAACGGATGCATATCGTTCGAATTCGGTAAACGGTTTTTCATAAGGCTCATACACTCTGTCTGATCGATATTGGAACAAAAGAGAAAACGAAACGTTGTTCAACAAAATGGAAAAAATGAATTGATAGTGGTGATTATGTAGTTGCAGTTTTATTGGACTTGAAGAGAGCTTTTGAAACGATTGATCGCCAAATACTGATTGATAAGTTGAAAGCCATAGGCATACAAGGTACTGTATTGAAATGGATCAGGGACTACCTAACAGTTCGCAAACAGATCACCAAAGTGGAAAATGTATTCTCGGCTCCCATCACCAATAACTTCGGTGTACCACAGGGAAGTGTCTTGGGTCCTTTATTATTCTTATGCTATATTAATGATATATAATACTATCATGACTGTGATTTTCTCAATTTATTCGCAGATGACACGTTACTGTCAATCTCAGGCAATGATCTGTATGGTACTATCAACAAGATGAACGATTCCCTATCAAAAGTACAAATATATTTCGATATTAACAAAATGAAACTCAATGTGACAAAATGTAAGGCAATGATCCTAACCACACCCTTTAAATACAGAAACATCAACTCAAAGCAACTCAATCTGGAATTAGATAACAATAAAATTGAATTCATAAACCAGTTCAAATATTTGGCAAACTCAATGAAATCGCTATTCTGTGAAGGACTCGATGAGTTCAATAAGCTACCACAAGACATCAAGCAATCTAATACCATTTATGTATTTAAAACGAAGATCACTAAAATGTATTAGAACATAATCAATCTTGTTCACATGAATTTATATACTTTAAGTGCATTATTTTATTTTTCAGTATTTGTCTTTCTTTTTTTTATTATATAACTATTAGTCTAAAAACATGTTTGTATAGCTATGTTTTTTATTTCTATATTAGGACATGTCCTACTGAATAAATGAAGTTCTTCTTCTTCTTCACTATTCATTAACGATGGCATTAACTGTGACTAAATCAATAATTCAACTTGTCAATCCTTATTTTTGTGAGGTTTTTCGTTCAATAATAATGATAATGATAATAAATTGTTTATTGTTTGCCGGTGAAATAATTACAGAACTGTAAAACTTAACCTAAAGAAGACTCAACCTAAAGAATGTGATGGGTCAGTTGACCGATTCTTCCACACTTCCCTAAAAAAACAAAATATATAATGAATCATTAAAGAAAATCTATCTAGTTATAATAAAGTGAGTACCTATAACTTATATAGATATAATTGTTATCACTGGTTAAACAAATAAAAACTAAAATAATTAATACTTATAATATACGACTGATTGGAAAAATATAAACTGAAAAGATGCATTTTATTCACAAGGTTATATCATTGGTGAGTCAAAAATTTTTTTTGAAGGAATTCAGAGACAATGCAAAATCGGGAATATCCAGTAAAGAAGAAGTTATAGCAATCTGATAAGAAAAGGAGGATTTAAATATTTCTTTATTATGCATTGGTATATCAATAAGATTATTTCTTCTCAAGTTGAGATTCATTTATTATTATTATTATGATTTATTCCTACATAAAACCAACGGCAACCAGACCAACAGGTACACGCATAAATGAACAACGTATTATCCCAGATTCGAGTTTTCCCGTTCGCTCTCCCGGAGTTCCCTCCATGGAAACTGGCTGATATATATTGCAATGTTTCGGGAAGTGAAATGAAAGAGTCAGAATTGAATTCACAACAACACAAACTGAACTATTACAGTAACATCAGTAAATTTCCAAACTACTGCAAAATATATACTGATGGATCAAAGACCGAGTATGGGGTGGGCTGTGCATTACTTGTAGATGGACACCTCCATAGCTGGTCGATGCACTCAACAACCAGCGTTTACACAGCAGAATTATACGATATATACCAGTCTTTATTATTCTGTGAATTCGCATTTCTAAAATAAATTTACTCTTTACCCTCTTGTGAGGATTATTCTTGCCAGAATTCATATTATGAAGGAAAGCGGTAGAACTGTCAGCTTCATGTGGGTGCCTAGTCATTGTGGCATAAAGAACAACGAGGATGTGGATAACGAAGCTAGAATGATTGCTAACTCTAACGAATATGAAGATGTACCACTCCACTTAGAAGATCTGAAGAATTTTATAAAAACCAAAGAAATATCTGACTGGCAGACTTTTTGGAATGAAACTGATGCGAAACTGAAATGCTCGAAACCAAGTGTGAATAAGCGAATCTCACCACTGAAATTGACCAGGAAAGAACAAGTTGTTCTCACGCGTCTGTGAATCGGTCATACAAAAATAACACACCTTTACTTGCTCCTAGGAGAACAACAACCTCTATGTACTACATGCCGAACAGTACTAGCGGTACAACATATACTTGTAGAATGTCCAAAATATGAAGAAACCAGGAGACAACATAATATAACTGGGGCAATGAAAGAAATTCTATGTGATGATAGACGAACGTTGAGAAACATGATGGCATTTTTGAAAGCTGTAAATATAATAGATGAAATTTGAAAAACAAACAAGTCCGCGGCTAATAACCTAGCAGTTGATAGCGCAAAAAACAAAAAAAAGTTGAGATTATAAACATCTGTCCTGTATGTGACTCTCTTGCAAAGATATTCAGGTGTATCAGTTTCAAGGATTTTATAAAAAAACAACGTGAATGTAGTAAATGACGATTAGACATGAATTTTGTACTTTTTGAATACGAAAGGCATCAGATTTCCGAAAAAAAGGACCATAAACTGTGTCACAATGGTTGAAATGTGATAAAACCATCGAGTCAGATAACATTTTTTTTGTTTTTAAATTCATTTCATTTCGATGAGGATATAACAAATTCAGAGCTGCATATGCCGTTTTCAGTTTAGAAGTAACATGTTTGTCGAATCGCAATTTTGAATCCAGATGTCAACCAAGATTTTTCACATGATTGCTGAAATTGATAACATCATCATTGATACAGATTTGAAATGGGAAAGAAAATTTTTGGCTTTCTACTACTCCAAAAACTTTCTTTCCCAAAAATTAATCACTCCTAAAAATATAACCCCTTCAATTCAGATTTGTAATCTATTCGTAACTTCAATTTTTTTCATTTTATTTCCGAATAAAATGGCGAAAGATTTCAAAGAATAGATTTTTAGAAAATATTTTTTCGATAGTGTTACGAGTCGCGACAGGTCTGCATTAATTATAATATTAGCTTTTTCAATTTATAAATATAAAAGTGGACCAAGAATACTACCTTGTGGTATACCTTGTTGAATGGTATACCACAAGGTATACACAGCGAAACAGGGAGTGTCGTCACCAGATATATGAAATGGGAGCCGGAGTCATTACTTCCAGAAGTTTCTGTGTGAGCGGTGTGGAAGTATATTAATTTTTCAGTTGTTTTTATTGGTCTATTTACGTGGTGAAATGAATTTTGTAAACGAAAAAATGTTCTCTTTTGTTTTTGCTGACTTCTTGTGTGAAATAGAAGAAACAAAATATTTCTGTATTCTAGTCATATCTCCATGTCCAACTATCATAGGATAATTTTTTACGATGAGTTTCGGTTGAACAACAGATACATTTCAAAAGTACTAGTACTTTTCCAAACTATCAGCTTTAGTTATCCACAAAAAAATTAATTTTTGTGTAAGATCATAGTTTTCACCTGCAAAAAAAGAAGAAATTCAACAACAAAATAAAAGTTCAGTTTTATTTGGTTCTGAAATTGCTCTTTTTTCAGAGACGAAAGAAAAGAAATCAAGAAAACGTAGACGAATATTATGTATCAAAAACTGATTTTTTTATCAATTCAAGTTTTGAATTGAACGAGAATATTTTTAGGAAAGATAAGTTTATACAGAAGAAGCTTTTTGACTCTCTACATTTCTATTATTGAAAAAAATGATTCTCACACCTTCGAAAGAAAGAAGGGAGAAAAATAACTACAATAAAATCTCTAAACAATGGAAATTTCGCATATTTTTTGTATAGCGATGAAAAAATACATCTTCAAAAAGTTTCTATAGGTTTAACTTTACGAGTGAAAACTTTATTTAAATTTCAAAATTTTCAAAATAGCCTCTGGCTAATGTGACTCAACTAATTTAAAAAATCAACCGTTGTATAGGGATATTTAACACTTCTCATACAAGATGTAACTTGACTCAAAAACAATATAAAACTTTTGAAGGAATGGATCTGTAGGGCAGGAGAGGTTGAAAGGTTGAAAATTATTAAAAAAAACCTGTGCGTTTCGGGACGCCCGACAGAAGTGACAACTTATACTAATCTAAGTTTAACTATTTAATATTGAAATTATTTTATTCGAGGAAAACTCAGGTTGTTACTTCTTGTATATTAATATTATAATGTAAGGAAAGGTTATTTATTGATAAAATCTTTTATTGATTATTTTGTGTATGTACATATTTTATAACTGCCGTAAGCCAATTGTTACTTCTGTAGAATTAAATAATGATACTGATAATGTACATACACAAAATTAGTATCATAATTTTTATGCCAGGTTTCACACAATAACGTGCTTGCTGGTTGGAGTTTTATAATACTGTCAACAGCATATGCCTAACGCACACTAGACACTGAGCGTCTGTCCGACGAGAGAGGAGGAGCCTGTCTTCCGCTGACGTATGCGTGAGAGAAAGGGAAGCCAGACAAACTGGCGCTTTTACGCGTTAGGTAACGAAGCGGTTTACCCTTCCTTGAGAAGTTATCACTTCAAAAATATATTTCACAAAATACAAACTGACCTGTTGAAGTTTTTTTTGATATATTCCTCCAATGATACGGAATTCACCTCATCTTTGATTTCTACACAATAATAAGTTACTACTAATATCCACTAAACTTCTGA